GGAGGGCGCGAAAGCACTATTCTGTTTCCAGCCGTTTGAGAAGAAATTTGACGGGAAGGAGGAGGATGCGATGAGGTGGATCGTGATGAAGATGAGTAAGAACACGATGAAGTTCAATTACGGGGTGCAGCTGGAGGTGGGGAAGGGGGCCGAGAGGGGGAGTTATGTCGTGAGGTTTTATTGGGATGGGAGGGTGTTTGATCAGCAGGGGGCGAGGAGGGCGGTGGAGTTGTATGGGAGGGTGTTGGGGGAGTTGGGGAGGGCGGAGAATATTGGGGATTTGGAGGTGAATTTGGAATAGATTAGAGGGGATATGGTGTTGTTTTTCTGTAATTGAGGTTGAGTTGGGCGTTCATAGGGTTTGTTTTTGGGGGTGTATTAGAGTTAGATCTCAGATTGGATATTGTGGTTATTGTCTTTAGGGAGTTTGTTGGATTCTTGATATAGATGAAATTGGTCATAATCTATACTTTGATATACTATTCCACTTTACTCAGTTCTACTAGAGTCAGATATATTAGTCTCGAAGTTATAGAAACATACGTCAGTTCTACAGAGGGTCCATGTCTCGATAAAGGCACATACAACGAAAGTATGCTGCGTGTGACTAAAGTATCTTTACATTCAGCCAATCATCACTTGCTTCACTCGTAAAGATCAAATAAAAACTATTATATTAAACTACATCGGCACCAACCGCAACACCCAACCCTACATGATATACTCAACCCTAACCATCAACATAACCCACCCACCCTATCTAGCAACTAACTTCCCTACAACAAACCACCACTGACTAGTAGTATACGAACACTCCCAAAAAAATAAAGTATAAACATATATCTCATTTAATCTAAAAGTATACTAAACCCCCAAGCAAAGAGGGAAATGATAATCTACTTCCTCGCCAAAAACACAAACCGCCTCACCTTCCACGCGACACCGCCCCTGGCCTCCACCGCCGCCTTCTCCAACAACTCGTTCAGCTCTCCCTTCTCCTCCCCAGGCACCTTACTGATCAACTCCCCAAACAGACCCAGATAATTCATCTGGTCCAGAATAAGAGTGTACGTGCCCGGATGGCATTCGTCGCGGAGGACATCGCGCAGTCCTTGCTCCGCTAGGGTTGATGCGAGGTGGATGGACCATCTGCCACAATCATTAGCATCTACATTATTTTCCTGAAGGAAGAAGCTAAGTGTATGGAAGGGGAGGGAGGGGGTCATACGAAGGCATCTTCGACCTAAACTTCCCATCAATCCTCTTCATAAGCTCCTCCGAGTTCTCGGAAACAGTAGTCTCAGGATCACTCTTTACGAGGGGCCGGTTGCCTGCGTCGTCGTTGGGTTCTTCCCATTGGATGTAGCCGCCGGGCTCTATTCCACATATTAATATCATACCACTCATCGGAAATAAATGTTATGGGTAAAAAGGGAATGGGAGAACACGTACTAACAAGCCTCATCAAATTCTTAATCACGGGTCTTGGATCCCCACCCGCCTGCAAGACAACCTGCACAAGAAGTCTGGCATGCACGACATCATATTTCTCCACGTATTCCTCCGGGATCTCCTCCAGAATGTTGAGATGCCGGAAGGAGATGTTAGATGGGAGGAATCCTGGGGCAGGGTATTGCTCCGAGGAGATGTCGAAGCCGTGAAGTGTGGCGTTGGGGTATTGGCGGTGCAGGTCGAGGAGCCAGATTCTTTACATAGTTGTTAGAGCTTCGCTGATAGATGTATAGGGGGGTGTAAGGGGGGGAGAGTACTGACCCAGTGCCGGTCCCTACATCGGCTATGGAAATGTCGCTGTTGCTGCTGGCATCGGGGAATCGGATGGATGGGTGAAGGAGGTATCCGATGCTTTCTTTCCAGATGTAGTGTTGGAGGTTGAGACGTGTAGAGGCGATGACGTCGCGGCCGAGACGGTAGGGGTCTGTTGAGCCCATTTTTACTTTGTGATATGTGAGGTTGGTGGGTGGTAGATAGTAGGATTGATTGTGGAAAGAATGAGAAGTGATAGTGTGTGTTATGTGTATGGGCTGATGATGAGATGGATGGATATGTGGCAGCGGTGGAATGATCTTAAATCACTGGCATTCATACATCTTGACTCCATTCAAATCCAATTCGTATAGTATAGTTCGTGTATACAGTCCCTAATCCAATCAGAAAGCATACCGCATGCGGGCCTTAATTAGCTCTCCCGCCGTGGAGGGAGAGTAAGATACTAGGGCAACACATGGCAGTTAGCGTTGCCGCTGGTGATGCTGACATCCGCGCGAGTCTGAAACAAGTACTTCGGCATCCTGAGACTCCTTCAGCATCCTGCAAGAGAATACGAGGACAGTGATAATCAATCGCTGATATACCGATATGGCATGACTCGATAATCATTGATGGACTGATCAGCAGTACCTCAATCACTGTATTTAAAAGTAGAAATAGTCCAAGAAAACACCCAACTACCCTACTATCACAGACATCTCCATAACCCTATACAATCTACTCAAAACATCCAACCAACCACAAATACTCATACCTAATTAACCTACCAACCCTCACCATGGCAGCAAAATACCCCCTAATCGAAGGCATCGACATCCACAACCCCTCCCCAACCCATGAAGCCAACGCCGCCTTCCTACGATCCTTCCCCATCGACCGCGCCGTCTTCCGCCTCTATGCCCGCTCCCCAGGAACCTTCCTCCCCATCATGTCCGTCCTGGACAGTATTCTGTCCGGCGAAAAGCGCACTATCCAGCTCCTCGACTACCAGCTCATTGTCCTCCGCATGACCGGCCTCATCAACGCCGAGTACCTCTTCGGCATCAACGAGCCCATCTCGCGCCTTAACGGGCTTGGCGACGATAAGATCGAGGCCCTGCGCAAGGGTCTGTCCTCGAAGGAGCTAATTGCTATGGGCACATGGACAGAGCGCCAACAGTGTATTCTGACGCTGGTGGAGGAGTCGATCCGCACGTACGATAATAACGAGGAGACGATTCTGTGGGCTAAGAGGGTTATGACGGATGATGAGGTCGTGGAGTGTTTTGTTGTACTGGGGTTCTATACCACTATTGCGAGGATGACGAAGGGGTTGAGGGTGCAGAAGGATCCGGTCATTCCGCATTTGGAGACTGCGATTGTGGATACGATTACGAAGAATGAGAAGGATGGGGTGGAGGCGTAGATGTCATGTTTCAATTGTTTGTAGTTGGTTGTTAGGGGAGATGGAGGGTGTTTGTTCTTTATGTAGTGATAATGGAGTTGACTGTGTTTACATTATAGTCTTGATCGATCGTATTTGATATGCTTCAACCACTGTAATTATGGATGGTATGTAGTGAGCTAAATATTCCCCAATACATGCATCATCCGAGCCTGCTTCGATATCCACTCATCCTCCCTAAACTCCCCTAACCCATCCACACTCATCCCCTCCAAGGCCCGATCCCACTCCGCTTGTGTCCCTGCATCCCATAACTCGTGGTTCTCCGGCAGCGGAAACTGCAATTCATCCGCCGTTAAAAGGATGTTGCCCATCGATGTCCCATCCACCATCTGGCTCAGCGCCGTCGAGCCATATATCGTTGTGCACACCTTGTACAGCGCAATGTTGAATCGCTTTACTTCCTCAATACTGACCAGCATGTATTGAGCAATCGCGGGTTCCTGATATTGTTGTAGGATGCGCGGATAATAAAACATGCCCCGGAGACGGCAGCTCCGTATCAGACACTTGAGCAGCAGCTCAGTATCAGTCCTTAATCCAGACGGCTTCAAATCTATCCCGAGAGAGCCGTGCGTTTTGTATATCAAAGAGAAGATGACATGTAATAAGATCGCCTGGTAAATCGGCAATGGCCACGACCCCGAATGAGGTATATGTACTTCATCGGGCACATCCCATCTCTCCTGCAACAGCATCAGCATTAATAACCGATTAACAAATATTTGCACTGACCTTCTGCTGCAAAATCGCCGAATTCAGCTGTTCATGCAACTCGACAGCCGCACACCGTGCGCTCCTCTCTCCACTCGCCCACAAGCCCAGCACCACCATGGACTGGACCAACATGGGGATTTCATGGCGAATGCGAAACGTCCCCCGATGCACAAACGGCCAATGCGGGTGAAACAACTCAAAGAACATTTTGACAAACTGTTCTTCTCTGGACACCGCTGGCCGCGGGCTCACGGACGCTGGTCGGGGTTCGGGCGCCGGGGAGTCCTCCGCCTCGCGGAGAGAGCAGCGAATGCCCCGATGCTGACATTCCGTGCAAACAGGCTTCCCTTCACATCGAGCCTTGATGGCTCGACAGTTGGAGCAGGCGCGTCGAGCTCGGTGGACGGGTTCATTCAACTGATGCTTCACTCGTAGATGTCGCCGCAGTGTGTCACTAACGCACGTTACTAATGACAGAACAACAAGCACGCAGGAGCCTTGCGCGCTGCAAGCTAACTTTGTGTATACTTTCGTCCGAATTCCTGACCACAGATGGAACAGGGATATGTTCGATCCTGGATATGTTTGGCCTCATGGCGGCGGAGGTGCTCTTTGCGCCGGTATCGGGCATCACAGTTGGGGAAGCGACAGACGAACTCGCCCAGCGAGTCATTCCTGGTCAATTTATCCATGGCGGCGGAGGGATCGCTCACTCCACAAACCAACTATATCAAGGTGGGAGGCGTTGCGACGGGGGGATGCCCCGGACATGGTGAGTGGGAGAATAGTTAGTATAGACTGTGGCTGCTGTAGAGAAGCCGTGGGTTATGTAATGGCGGGTGGGATACTCCGGCACTAAACCCTCTAAAAGCATCATTTTAACTCTTTATCTCCTAGGCTACTGCATTCGTTCTCTTTCCTATTCTGGTTGAAGGATAGCGTGAGATTTTAGTCTTAATTGCAGACACTAGTCCAATAACAGTCATACCACTGAACGGGCTCGTTTATACAATACTTAAAAGCCTGCCTCCAACTGGGCCAAGCGCGCACCAAATCCTGCATGCTTTAGTCTTGCCGCACTGCTCTTATGCCCTTGAATTACACCTGCCAGCTCTTCGTTTTCGACAAATCACGCTTAAAACCAAAGCTGAGAGTTCGCTCTAAAGCTCCCTTTCGACCGGGCTGGGCGACTTCGGTGATGTCCGAGCTCGTCTCCTCCACAGCTCTCTCCGACGCTGACTCGCACCGGTTACGACCTAGTCGCTGGCCCTTGGACTTTCTGATGCCATACCCCGGGCCCCTAATGTTCCCCAGATCAATTCGCCTGCTCTCTCGCATGCCAAAGTAGAGTCCAGCAACAACGAGTATGACCACGCTGAGACTCACTGGGAGGCCAATATACAGCCCCAACTTGTTGAAGGAAGTCGGCCGAAGAGACAAGCGATGCTGCACTGGCTTGGGGTGAAGAATAACTGTTGGACCCCGTCGAGCACTTGCCCGCTTATCTGACACCGAGTCCAGCTCTATGATGTAAAGCGTCAGAGGGTTCTGCTGTTTCCCTTGAAGCCATTCTTGCTGCATATGGATGTGAGTATATCCGTAGCTGTTGTCCGTCTTATCCGAGGTAAATGTCGAATCCCCTTCCACGGAGTCCGCATATCTCAGTTCAATGGTAATTGTGGCATTCAGAGGATAGAAGTCCGCGTCCCAGGTGATGTAGTAAGTCCCACCCACCGTCACGTTTGCACCATCCTCTGGGAGACAGAATGGTCGGGCAGCGCCATGAGGGCCCCTACAGATGGGGAAATCACCCGGTGTGGGGGAGGATCGTCGGATCGCCATGGTTGTGTTTGGGGGAGGCTCAATTCTCTCCGTCATCGCTAAACGAGTAAGCCATGTTAGACCATTGCCCTTTTGAGACAAGATACCTTTGGAGTGGACAATAGCCCCATTCTTTCCGGCAACAATGTATATGGCCTCACCGAACGAGAAACAAGTCATGGCTGCGAGGACTAGTAAACAGGCCCCGGCTTTCTTCCAGGATTGTATCATAGTTGAAGACGAAGGCAGATGCTCGATTGAGGATAGATTGGTTTGGTACAATATGGATGCAGTAAACTATTGAAGTATTGCATCTAGCGATGAGTTGCATAGAGCTGCATCTGTCAGTCGCCGCAACATTGCATCTGTCACATTGCTACTAACAGATGCAAATAAGTAATACCAAGGAAGGTGCTATGATGGCAGGGAGTGCAGCTCATGGAAACAGCGAGCATCTCAGCATGATTGAGCAGCACAGCTGTCATTACAACAGCATGCTGTGCCTGTCATACTCGATAAGCATCCATATTTGCTTTTTTTTTCTCTCTTCTCGTTAAATCTCCTAAATTACCGTTAATATCACCCTATCTCCATATGGAGATTATTTGTTGTGGTTGCACATCGCATTGTTAGTGAAGCTGTCCGGATGCTACACAGCTCCACAGATCCACTGAGTTGCCGCGTGTCAACATGTCAACAATGCCATTGTAAAGAGACTCGGGGACATGCGAGATATGCACCACCTAATTAGTAGACAAGTAGTTGCATGGTATCTGCACTCAATCTTCGCAGAATCCCAGCGCAATCGAATCTGTCAAGCTAAAGTGTTCCAGAAGGCGGAATCCCCGCTTCCGCGGCGGTTGGATCCTCGGGTGGCCATTTAGAGTTAGGCCACCTGTCGCCGACGCTTACATCTCTCGCCGTTTCACTCGACCTTCAACATCCCCAAGTGCCTGTCTTCCCCAGCTGCCTGCTGTCCCGTACTTTGGCTTTTGAATTCTTTTTCTTTCCAAAGTGCGCCCGTCCCTTCAATAACAGCTCAGGTTGGTTTTCTCTTCCATCCATTCATCCCTTGGATGTGATAGATTCCCTCGACCCCTATACTGACCACGCGTCATCAACTGCTTCAGCATCATGCGCTTCACTCCGGTCGTCGCCCTCCTCCCAGCGCTCGCTGTGGCTCAGGAGCAGGTTCCCCTTGCGGACCGTGTCCAGGGCTGGTTCAACAAGGCCAAGTCCTACTTGCCTACTGCCACCCCGGTCGCCCCCGCCGCTGCCGTTGTTGAGAAGGTCGTCGAGAAGACCAAGATCCAGGAGAAGACCGTCTCCGAGTTCAACTTGACCAACTGGCAGTCATACCTGGAGCCCGCTTCGGAGCCCCAGGACTGGTTGGTCTACATCACTGGAGGAAACAAGACTTGCTTCGGTCGTTGTGACAAGGCAGACAAAGCGTTCAATGTAAGCAAGCCCTAGAAAAGGGGGCGCACCCACTCGATTTCATTAACAATAGTCGCTAATAATCCTCCTTTTTAGGAATCCGTGCTTTTGTTCTCCGCCGATCCTACCTCCCCTAACCTCGGTAAGCTGGACTGCGAAGAGAACAAGGTTCTTTGCTCTGCTTGGGGTGCCGGTGCTCCTTCGGTCTGGTTCCTCCAGGTGCCCCAGGCCCAGCTTGGTGAGGAGCGCCCCAACACTCCCCTCCACACTGTCTACCTGAACTCGACCACCGTGACCCCGGAGACCATCTACAAGGTCCACTCTGAGAAGGTCTGGGAGAAGGCCCCTGCCTACGACGGTCCTCTTCACCCCACGGACGGCTGGCTCGCTCAGAACAACCTTCTGCTCCCTCTTGGATATGTCATCTACGGCTTCAGTGCCATCCCCAGCTGGCTTTTCATGATCGGCATCAGCTTCTTCAGCCGTACCTTCATGTAAGTTGTCTTGCTCTAATTGCATTCTTTTTGTTTGCGATCCGCTACTAATGTGTCACAGGAGCCGTCGCCTTGGAAACGTCGGTGGCGCGCCCGCTCCTCGTCCGAACTAGATGTGCTGTTAAGGGAAGATAGCAGTTCTTTTAGAATGATTGGGATGTGTATATAATGAAGCAGAGCGCCTGTCAAATTGGATTGCGGTGTTTGGGTTGATGCCTCTAACAGTTGTAATACAGTAAGCAGACCAACATTCTAGAACAATTTATTTTCCACAATATTTCATGCATATCAATACGTAATCAACAACCCCAATAGTCATAGTATAGACATAGCTAGCTCCCAATTAGACCTGTTAACAATCAATCAATCGTCGAAACCAACCACCCGGCCCGCTAACGTCACCGCCGACCAAGCAACATCCAGCTCCGCTCCACAAAACCACCACTCAATCCTCAACCAAATTACCACCCTCCACACCACCCCCAAGAGAACAATCAATCCCAAAATGTCCGACCTCGACCGTGCAACCCCCTCAACAGCCGCCTATGTGGTCGCGACCGCCATCCTCGCCGGCATAACCGGCTACTTCATCGGCCAAGGCAGCAGCCTCGGCCTCTTCAGCAACAAAGAAAAAGAAGGCTGGCCGAACAGCTACAACGTGAAACCGCACCTAGACTCGTCGGACGAAGACTACGAATCCGAAGAAGAAGAGGACAGTGAAGAAGAAGGCGACGGCACGGAACTCGCCAATTTCGATAGCTCCAATGAAGAAGTGAAGTTGGTGCTTGTCGTGAGGACGGATTTGGGTATGACGAAGGGTAAGCATATCCGAGGCCCCAGTTTTCCAAGATTATATCTACGTCTCTGGCAATGAATATGTTTATTGTGGTAGGCGCATGCTAATATTTTGATACTGTTGCAGGCAAAATCGCCGCCCAATGCTCGCACGCTACCCTCGCATGCTACAAATACCTGACAGCGTACACGCCGAACAGCGGCATCCTGCGCCGGTGGGAATCGCAAGGTCAGGCCAAGATCGCGCTGCAGGTCAAGTCGGAGGAGGAGATGGAGGAGATGCAGGCTAAGGCGATCAGTTTGGGACTTTGCGCCAGAGTGATTACGGATGCTGGACGGACGCAGATTGCTAGTGGGAGTCGGACGGTGTTGGGAGTTTTGGGTCCCAAGAGTGTGGTGGATTCCGTGACGGGGCATTTGAAGTTGTTGTAAACTTTTTGGTTTTACTCCGTAAATATATCGATCGAAGTTCGGTTTGGGGGTGTTATGGGTGTAGCAGTGAAAAGATCATGCGGGATCGTTGGGTTGGTGTGTTGAGATATCATATCATATGGCGTTTTGGAGAAGGGTCTCGCGATGCGATGTGCTTCATCCTTCGGCTCAGCATTATGGCATATTTTCTCGAGCAGCATTTTGATATGCTACTACCAAGCGCAAGTCATGATAGATGACCGCCGACGTATTTCGACGGCTTATATGGTATCCCAAGCACATATAGTATGCGCGCAGCTTTACATCTTTACAACTACATACATAAATTATACTGATAGTAATGTTGGCAGGTCATGGTTATTCCCTAACCTCAGTGACCGACGGTCAATTCGGCAAAGGGAGTAGGAATATGACGCCGTCAGCAACCAGGTTCTCCAGCCGAGCTCACCAAGATGGGAGCTCAAGACCAGAGTGAACACCCAGCGCCAACCTTTAATCTGAGATCTGTCGACCGGAAGTGCAAAAACCATCCACAAGATGAATGGCTCCTTAAGTCGTCGAACTGCCCAGCGTTCAACCGAAACACAGAGAAATAAACAGCCGAAACTGCCACCCTCCATGAACGGGATCGCTGAACACAGATCCGTGTTTGTTCATGTTCTGAAGAAAAGAAAGAAAAAAGAAGAAGAGAAGAAAAAATCGTCGAAGCCGCCTTTTATCCGCTGCGCCAAGCTCGCGCTAAGAGTTTGTCGCGCTAAACCTTACCGAGATGGGTGCTGATTAGGTAAGTGCTTGTTGGCGCGCGCTCGCTCTCGCTGGTCGGTCGGTCGGTCAGGTCAGGTTCGCCGCTGCGGCGGGTTGAATAACTCATATCCGTCACTTCAACTTCACTGCCATCTGTTGAAGACGATACCTCACCACCCATCGACCGACCGTCTGTATCTATCTCCATCTTTTCCTTTGCCTTTGTCGCCACCATGGCCGACGCAGTTTCCATTGAGCAGAACAACAAAATCCGAGCCGCGCTCGGATTAAAACCCCTGCCTGTTCCTGGCGCCGAATATGAAGACGACTCCGACGACTCGTCCGGCTCCGAAGATGAAGACCCCGCCAGTACCCTCGAGTCGCGCGAAGCGATGGCCGGATCCAACTGGAAGAAGATGCAAGACGATGCCGAGGCGAAACGGAAACGGGAAGAGAGAAACGCTGCGATCAAGCGGGCACGAGAGCTGGCGCAGAGAGATGCCAAGTTACAAGGCACCACGCTGGGTGAATCAGGCGATGCGGACCAGGACACCAAGGCATGGCTGATGCAGGCGAAGAAGCGACAGAAGAAGATCGAGAAGGAACGGGCGCGCAAGCTAGCGGAGGAGTTGGAGGAACGGGAACGTGCGGCGGAATACACGGCGGTCGATCTGGCCGGCATTAAGGTTGGGCATGAGGTGGGCGACTTTGAGGGGGGTGAGGATCATATTCTTACGCTGAAGGATGCGACGATCGATGAGAATGAGGAGGAGGGTGATGAGTTGGAAAATGTTGATTTGAGGGAGAGGGAGAAGGCTACGGAGCGGACAGAGTTGAAGAAGCGGAAGCCGGCGTATGATCCTACGGAAGAAAACTCGAGTATCCTGGCACAATATGATGAGGAGATTGATGGTAAGAAGCGGAAACGCTTTACTCTGGATGCTCAAGGGTCTACGGTGGAGGAGCGAGAAGCGAAGCGACAGGAGGTGTCGGGCAAGTTGAACAAGAATATCGTCAGCTTGGACCTCGAGACGGAGACGACAACACCGGCGTCCGACTACATGGACATCAGTGAGATTAAGATCAAGAAGCCCAAGAAGAAGAAGGCGAAGGCTACGAAGCAGAGAGCTGTTATTGATGACGACGAATTATTCCCTACGACCGAGTCGACGAGTACCCCGAATGACAACGCCATGGAGGTCGATACCAATAACGGAACACCCGTACCCGCGCCCGCCCCCAAGAAGTGGGCAAGTGAAGATGTCTCATTTGTCGATGATGATGATCTACAAGCCTCGCTTACCCGCCAGAGACGTGCTGCGTTTAAGAAGCGACAAAAGGTGCGACCGGAGGATCTTGCTCGACAGCTTAGAGAAGAGGGTTCTCAGACACCGATGGAAACTGGCACGCCCGATGGAAACGAAGAAGAGCCCGGCCTCGTGATCGACGAAACCTCGGAGTTTGTCTCTAACCTACAGAAACCTACCCTTCCAGAGCGCCGCGAGAGACAAACCACGACGCCCGCCGAGGAGTCACGTGCTAAAAGTGAAGGCCCCAGCATCAAGGCAGAGGACGAGGATGTGGAAATGGGGACCTACAATGATATCGAGGACGAGGAAGATCTCAAGGAACGGATCAAGCGCGAGGAGTCGCAGGCCCAGCAACAGATCAGCACTACAGGTTTGGACGAAGAAGCGACTCTGGATCAAGGTCTCGGTGCGACGTTGAACATGCTCAAACAGCGTGGTCTGGTCAAGGGATCCGACGCCGCAGACAACAATTCTCTGCTGCGCGACCGCCATCGCTTCCTGCAAGAGAAGATGCGCATGGAGACCGACGCGGAGAAACGCGCTCGGCAGCAGCGTGAACGCGACCGCGCCTCGGGCAAGCTGGACCGGATGTCAGCGCGCGAGAGAGAAGAATACGCTCGGTGGGAGAATAAGCAGCGCGATCAGCAGGAGGCGCGACACATGGCAGAGGTGTTCAACCGCGAATACAAGCCGGACGTGCAGCTCAAGTACGTGGATGAGCATGGTCGCGCGATGAACCAGAAGGAGGCGTTCAAGCACCTCAGTCATCAATTCCACGGCAAGGGCAGTGGTAAGATGAAGACGGAGAAGCGGTTGAAGAAGATCGAAGAAGAGAAGAAGCGCGAGGCGATGAGTGCGCTGGACAGCAGTCAACACACGGGTATGAACAACGCCATGGGAGCGACGGCGCGCAAGAACCGCCAGGCCGGTGTGCGACTTGGCTGAGAGTGGTGTTGCTTCTCTCAGACTGTTGTAGTAGATGATGACCTTCACCGAACGACCTCTATTCCGGAGGCACATTAATGATCCTCAGCAGATATCTTTCTAGGCTATGCGATGTTTGTACAGATTATACCAATAGAACGTCACATATTATTCTATCTATATCCAATAGACCGACCCGTTTTTGGGTGTAGATAAAGCAAGCAGGCCAGCAGCACGCGGTTTTGTCCGATGATGGATGGATAGAGAGGTAAGATGGACTCGGTGCTCCGAAGACACTGCAGGACGTCCTCAATACTCCGTCGATGGTGTAGCAGAGCTATTGAATTGGATAGGCTTGGCGTGTGGGGGAATTTAACCGAGGCCGAGTGATATTGTCCGAGGCGGTGGAGTGCAAGCAACCATGGTTGTGTGGATGGCTATTCAAGATTTTGTGGTAAAGCTACCAAAATCGAGAAAAGTGAGACTGTAGTTAGCCGGAGGAAATGGAGTCGATGCTGCAGATTTATATGATTGATGGTGTGATGGTGGTGATAGATGGTAAGTGGTAGAAGGAGGATTGTCTCCGATTGAACAGATAGTAATTACCCCAACTCCTCGTGAGGGGAAGACCAACCTCAGACCATCCATGATTTTCCCTCGATACTAAAACAGTTCACCGGGGCGAGCGGGACGGGCTCATCATTTGTGGTGCGATCTGTCAAGGAGGGAGTCCACGCTCTCCGTGATGATGACATTGACAACACATTCAGTGGTGTTCGTTGTGGTCGGATAGTAATGAATCAATCAGTAGAGATAGACAATCGCATTCAGATGTCATTGATGAAAGGATATACTACATTCAAGCTACTCCGTACATCCGAGAGATATGTGCAGTTTGCTGCTTCCTGCAAACTGCCAGGTCAATGTTCCATGCAAACCAGCCAAACAAGCAACCAAGTCAGCTGCTGGCGATGCGGAGGACGTGGCCAATCCGAGGCCTCCCGCGTCTCTCCCCGGAAACTCCCTACTGTGCTAACCAGACTAGTCCCAAGTCAGTTTCCAGTGACTCAAAAAATAAAATAACTATCGCCGACCTCGTCTCTCTCCCGCTTGTCTCCTCCCCCGATTCCAGCCTTCCATTCAAGTACTGCTTGCCAGCTCCTTGGACTCCCCGTCCTTTTCTTCCTGATCATCTCCTCCCTGGTCTTCTGGAGTACTTGCGCGTTTTCTCCTTTTCTTTCCTCTCTTCTCTTATTCAATCCTCCTTCATTCACCATGTTGTCCACCCTCAGAATCGCCAGCCGTAAGGCTGCTACCCGTGACGCTAGTGTGCGCACCGTTATTGTCGGCGCCAGACACGCCTCCGCCTGGTCCAACGTGCCTCAGGGTCCTCCCGTAAGATCTCCAACACATCCCAATAGCTGTTATGATGCCATTGCTGATCCATTGGCTCTGTAGGATGCTATCCTGGGTATCACCGAGGCCTACAAGGCCGACACCTTCCAGGAGAAGATCAACCTGGGTGTCGGTGCTTACCGTAAGCATCACCCTGTTTCAGTTTAACTATCCAACCATACCATCTCTCGATCACGCCAAACAATCAACTTCCAACGTTCAGTAGTCTGACAATCCATTGCGATCAAACAGGTGATGACAAGGGCAAGCCCTACGTCCTGCCTTCCGTCCGTGCTGCGGAGGACAAGGTTGTCGCCTCCGGCTACGACAAGGAATACGCCGGTATCACCGGTATCCCTGCCTTCACCAAGGCTGCTGCTGAGCTGGCCTACGGTTCCGACTCCGCCGTCCTCAAGGAGGACCGTCTCGTCATCACCCAGACCATCTCCGGTACCGGTGCTCTGAGGATCGGTGGTGCTTTCCTGCAGCGCTTCTACCCTCACGCGAAGAAGGTCTACCTTCCCACCCCCAGTTGGGCCAACCACGCCGCTGTCTTCAAGGACTCCGGTCTGGAGGTCGGACAGTACCGCTACTACAACAAGGACACCATTGGCCTCGACTTCGAGGGCCTGCTGGCCGACATCAAGGCTGCTCCCGAGAACAGCATCATCCTTCTCCACGCCTGCGCTCACAACCCCACCGGTGTCGACCCCACCCAGGACCAATGGCGCCAGATCAGCGACGTCATGAAGCAGAAGGGTCACTTTGCTTTCTTCGACATGGCCTACCAGGGCTTTGCCAGTGGTAACGCTGACCAGGATGCCTTTGCTCCCCGTCACTTCGTGAAGGAGGGCCACAACATTGCTCTCTGCCAGAGTTTCGCCAAGAACATGGTAAGCTGATACCAGACTTGGTATATAAATCATTATTAAGTGATATATAGGGTCTGTACGGCGAGCGTGTCGGTGCCTTCTCTCTCGTCTGCGAGTCCGCCGAGGAGAAGAAGCGTGTGGATTCTCAGATCAAGATCCTCATCCGTCCCTTCTACTCCAACCCTCCCATCCACGGTGCCCGCATCGCCTCGACCATCATGAACGACGCCAAGCTCAACGAGCAGTGGCTGGGTGAGGTCAAGGGTATGGCCGACCGCATCATTGAGATGCGCGCTCTCCTCCGCAAGAACCTGGAGGAGCTTGGCAGCAAGCACGACTGGTCTCACATCACCAGCCAGGTAAGATTTGAACCATGAGTGATGCAAGCGATTACTGACATGCGACAGATCGGCATGTTCGCCTACACTGGTCTCAAGCCCGAGCAGATGGACGCTCTGGCCAAGGAGGTAAGCAGCCTTCCATCCGCGTATCTCTTCTTCAGACTAACTCGTCCAGCACTCCGTCTACGCCACCAAGGACGGCCGTATCTCCGTGGCCGGTATCACCAGCGGCAACGTCAAGCGTCTCGCCGAGTCCATCTACAAGATCACCGGTTAAATGAGCAGCCAGGGAGGGGACCATTTGCTCATAAAAAACGTAGATCAGGGATTGGCGTCCCGTTGTACTGATATTCATGTGTGACATTAGCATATTTAAGTATCTAAGCAAGTTTCAACGATTTGGATGACATTATTGCTGTCCAGCATGACTCGTAATCATTGCAATTGACTTTCACCCAGCGATGTTAAGTACTTTAGGCCTAGACCATCCACATCCATCACATTCGGACCCTCCGAAACCACAGGTCACATAGTACCGAGCAGGCAGGCAAACCCACATACATACATACTTTCCCGCACAGGATCTGTCGCCACACCAACGCACCGCACGAGTCGAGCGAGACATGTAGCGGTGTAGATAATAGATAGCCCAGATCAGATCTAGCTGTGCTTCCCAGCCACCACGAGTGAAGCAAGCAGGAAAGAGTAACTATGGTATGAGTTGGCCTTCTTTTCATGCGAGCCATAGAAGAAAAAAGATTCGATCTATCAGGAGTATGATGCCTAATTGGTATAGAGGCATGAAATGCCGCGTTACTGCTACATACTTAGTACATTACAGCAGAATGAATTTATTTCATGAGGCTGGGAGGGGATTGGATTGGATTGTGCCTTGTAACAATTAGCTACTAGTAAGAACTAGCCCCTGAGTCATATCATATCATATCGTATCATATAAGGCACCTTCCTTCGGGCACAGTCATCCGAGATCAGTAGACTAGTAGGTAGTGAGTATGTGTGGGTAGATTGCCTGGTTTCTGCAATCTTTGGATTAAATCTGGAGATGTCTCTGTCTTTCTCGTATGATTAATATATCGGTGTTTGCCTACTTTTATTCTGAATTAGCTAGAATAATTATAGTAACCCCTAATAATCTATAAGGTACTCCGTACGTATGTATGTATGTATCTTGGGTATGGGTGAAGTGAAGTGAAGTGGGCCCGAGTTACCGGTCTTTATACTATATCGATCGTTAGTTTCCCCTCTCCACTCCGAGTTAACTTAGCTCCTGGGGGTGTGGGATGATGATGATGATGATTGCTAGGGTAACTGTTCTTTTTTTTGTTTCCTTTTGCTTACTTTGTTTTGATTAGGATTATTGTTCTGGTAGATTGATGTTTTGGATAATACCTTGATTGTTTGACTGATAGTAAAATAGTTTCACTATTCATTCCATCGTGACTGCGTTATGTATGTTACTCCTATGTAAGAAATGGATGGTCTTTGTAGGTAGAAGTAATACCAGCTTAGCGCGGCTGTATCGCTTATTGCTTCACAATCGATTACTTTTCTTTTCTTTTCTTTTCTACAGTACTTTAGTACCTCCGTAAGTGGTTGTTTGCTTCATTGCTTGTTTGTGGCGGTGATGGTAAGGAATGACCGACACTAACTACGTAGCCCACTAATAATAATTTACCCTAGTACTCTTTACATAGTAGTTAGGTATGAATGAATGAATGCCCTGCCAGGCTGAGTGCGCTGCTCAGCCTCATTTTCGTTTCCCTTCTTTACTTAGGTAAGTAGAGGTGTGGCTATGTAAGACATTGCAGATCTATTAACTATTCTAACTATCTACTGTCTGCTTTTTCGAGTTGCTAACTAACTAACTAGCTAACTAAATAACTAATTATGGGGTAAATTGCACTGCACTGCTGCTTAGCTCTTCTTCAATGATACTTCAGTACTACTACCACTGCAGTACCCCAGCTATGCTACTACTTATTTATTTATAGAACCTACTCCAGTTCGCTGTTTGTTCACTAACCACAGTTCCCGTCCCACGGCACCCCCTAAAATAGAATAATAGTAAGGAGGCTATCCCGGTAAGAGTCATCCGGATCAACGAACGCATGTAGTAGAGCGGTTTGGCTTATGGAGTAGGGGAGGGATGGCAAGATTCTATTTTCAATTTGTATGTAGATTATGAGGGGGTGGTGACGATGATGAGACAGGGGTAAAGCAAACCAGGAGGGTCCTGGCACGTTTCAGCTGGATCACTAGTAGTCTACTTTTAACTATCTATGGTTGGTTGGTTGGCTGACTCGAGAGAGCTTGGGCATTGGAGTTGTTTCACTGCAGATGATTACAGAAGAAAGAAGTCGAGGGAGATAGTTAGGAGCTTGCTTACTGACTACTTTAGTATGTAACTTGGGTAGATAAGTTAACTAAACTTTGTAATTAGGGGATAGGGGTAAGATAGGTAGATTACAATAGTTAGTTAGTTGGATAACTAACTACTAATTAGTTTCGAGGGTGGGTGTGGATATAGGAGTGGATGTGTGGGGTTTGAATCGAGTTCGAGTCTTGTCTTGTCTGGTCTCGTGTTTTTTGATCCCTTTTTATTTCCTTTCCTTCACTTTATTCATTCATATTAAGTCTGGACTTTATTGCCTAGAATCGAGTGTGATTCAGTATTATGAGGGGCTCTGCTTACTTGGTACATAGTTAAGTAGCTAGCTAGTTAGCACAGTTATTCTTAGTACTGGTAAGCACAGCAACCTGGTAACTAACTACTACTAGGTAGGTGTAGTATGTGATGCTGTGTCGATGATGTGCTGGCAATGGCTGGCTCCATTGTCAGTCCCGTATTATATGTATTGTAAGTAACCATGGCGGTGGTGGAGGTATTGAAATACACATACCGTATTCACTGTGTCTGCTTTCCTTCCCCTCGCATGAAATCAGGCCCACCAATGATCAATTTCCCAGCCAGCCATCATCCCTCCAGCATTTCCCGTTCGGGCGGGAACTTTCACAATCATTGACCTGAACTTACAGTCAAGTCCGTGTATGCCTATTCCAGTAGGCTGGGAGGGATGGAAAGGGAAAATGAAGCTCGGTTACTTACTTAGTCATGTTTGGGGGTCGCATTCCTGATGATGGGGTTGGATGCATCCTGCTGAGTGACAGTGTCATTCTTTCTTCTTTGGGTTGAGGTTATACGTATATTACCTTAGACACTAGCCAGCTACGTAACTGACTGATTTTTTATATCGTGAACGATATCTGATTAATGAGAGGATAACAGTATACTGCTGTCGTTGAGTGCTCAGATATTCATTACGTCATCGACAGCCAGAATACAAACAGGTGTAAGAGTAAGTCAGAGAGGGAACTGGGAATGATGAGGACAAGCCACAGCAGCTGCATGCTACTGCTGCTGCTTCTCTGGCTGGTGTGTCTGCTACGCCTCGTAGTAACTCCGACAGAGTAATGCAGGGCCCATTCCCTGTGATGGTCTAAGCGGCAGTGGCAAATGCTGAACACTTACTGACTGTCACAGAGTATACTTACTTGGGATTATTCAATGGAGGTGATAGTACTACTCCATTCTGGTTAGTGGTCAGTAGTGCTTCCTGCCTTGCTGCAAAGTCATCCTATTGTATCGATTTGTCTATGACTCGACGTCGAGGCGACCTTCAGTTTCCACTTCCACATCCACTCGCCGGGGCTCAAAACACGTGGAAACGCCTCGCCAATCATCAACACGAGTTCAGGCTGCCCGGTTGCCCAGCGTGCGCAGGCGTGTGTATACTAGTAGGAAATACTCGAATACACATTCACCTTACCTAACATGCATGACACTGAATGCCCAAGTCATGCTGATGCAGTCGTTTGTCTACAGGGTGTTAGTTGCGCCCGTCTTGAGCTGCTGGCGTGGTAGATACTAGTCAATTTCTCTTCCTGTCAATCGATGTATGCGACTTGACTCTTCCTTGATCGCTCGACGTCTGAAGGTCCTGTGCGCATTCTTTCCCCACCTTTTCAATGTACCGGCCCTACAGCAACCTGGTCAGGATGAGCCTTGCTTAACTGGATTATCGCCTGTCTGTCGATACACGAATCCCAGGGGGAAAAACGGGGACGGAAATAACACCCGATCGGGGAGGGCGCAAGATAGCCTCGAGAGAAAGCAATGAAGCGATTGATGGGCGAACACCCGGGTTGATCAAAGACCATAGTGGATGCCTTGTATGCATTATGTTCAGATACTAGAGTCGAAGAAGAAGCTCTTGAAGAAAGAGAGCTGACCGTTCACCCCTTCATTACTGAACTGGAATGATCACAGGGCGGTCCATCCTTTTCTGGGAAGCCGGGGACCAATTATTCCCTCTAGATGAAACCTTTTTCTTTCCTTTTTCTCGTTTCCATTCTCCCCTGCCCTGATCCCACCCCCCCTCTTCCATGTACTGACTAACGGACGGACATCGTACTTAATCTTCATCAGCAGGAGAGATCTTCCTAGCCAATGGATCCCTCACCAGTGGGAGGATCATCTGGTTGGTTTGTTTCGGTTAGAACCTCGGCCGGACTGTAACCTGGAGTTGGGATTTGATGTCCATCATCATCATCATCCATCCACCATAGTCCGTTATTGATTTTCAATCTCCGCGATCTCTCCATGTCCTGCGACCTTATAATTAATTCCGGCGCTTGAATTTCTCCTTTCATTCGGCACCTTTAGCATAGCAATAGTTCAATCGGGGTAACGATAGATAAAACAAAATAAAATAAAAGGAGCAGTCCGATTGTGACCACTACTACCTCCCCGTGACCTACCAGCTTATCCAACCCCGACTAGGAAACTCGTGTGGTTTCTGGGCTGTCTGAGATTGGACCATCACCTCCCGATTTGTGCTGCCCGTACCTCTGTATTAAGTTTGGCCTGCACGAGAGCAAGTGCCCTGTCCATGCAGGTTTACCATCTTGCATTCTTTTCTTTTTGTGTTATCTTTGTTTTTGACTTTTTTATTCTTTCCCCCTTCTCCTGGCGGTGCGGGATGTCGCGCGGGTTTACCAACCGGTAATCTGGGAACCATCGATCCTTCCTGCTTCCCTCCTCCCTCCTCATTTTTTTCCCCTACGGGAATTCCCCCTTCCCCTTCCGATCACCCGCCGGAAATAAGAAAGGGTCGAGGCTGGTCGGCGGGTGATCTGCCGTCAAGCTGAACCAGTGGCTCAGCTTCTCAGTTTCATTACTGGATCAAGCAGCGATCCGGTGACAACGCCGGTACCTGGTATTGTCTGAATCATGGGATGCGAGAAACCGTTCGGATGACTGGTAAAGTGTAATCCAAGCAAGGCACACACTCTCTTTTCCTCTGTGATATCTGATCTCATAGCATTTCTTCAATTTAGTTAGTAGATCAGTAGACTGACACTCTTTTCCAGTTCTAAAGTCTGGTATTGGTCATCTGCCCGACCATACATCTCTTGCTCTATCTTTTGATTGATTCATTCAATTCTTCTAAAAATTCCAGTACCACCTTACTGTCCACTCACTGCCGAACGTGTATTAAACCTGCTTAAGAATCTGCTTCCCTTTCAGTCAGCAGCCAGCCAACAAGGTATTGTTAAGTTAATTAAATTACCGGCCGCGACTCTTCAGAAAATAGTGCGACTCGGTTTTAAACTTTGGGACACTTTCTGACTGACGTCCTTTCTCGTCTTTGATTTATTCGATATCCGGTGCCGAATCATATTGTCTAAAAACAAGGATTATAATAATTATCCCATGGATTTTCTAAACTGTTGGCTGCTGTTGCTGCTGCAGCAACCACTCCATGATGAGGCTCACCCCCAGTGTTATTTGGCTAGTGAATTAGCCAGGAGAAAACGACCCGATCAAGGCAGGCAGCAGGAGACGATAGGAGTGGTTCCAGATGGATCAATGGCCGATGTGACCCATTCTTGTCATCAGTGGGTGGTGGGGACACTGGGTGGCAGAGGCATGGCCATGGCGTAAGAAAGTAGCTAGACTCCCAGCTAACTCACTCACTAACTGACTAGTGAGCTAGAGTAAAGGGTGGTCGAACAAGTAGTTCCCGTTTTGTACCACCACCACCCAGAATGGAGTCAGTCCGTCGTACAACCTGAACAGAAGAGTTACGACACACACACCTCCGGGTAAAAATTACCGGGCCCGTAATCGGACCCAAACCCAGGCATCATTTCATTCATCCAATACCTAGTCAGTTAGCCTTGACCTTTTTGCTGTCTTTCACAGGCACAAATGCGAGACAAGCAAAAAGGGTTCGTAAAGAAATCTATTATAAAGTGAAACCCGCTGTCATCCCATTATACTTGAGACAACAAGAAAGGAAACACAAGGGTACGTAGGGAATAATATATTTAGGACTATAGTTGAATTAAATAGAAAGTAGAGTCTTCCCCTTGTCACTTTGAATGCATCCCGGGCTTCCCTCGGATCGATCGCTGGTAGGGATCAATTGTTCCAGAAGAAACCGCCTTTCATCCATCAAACGCCCCCGGGCAGTTGTAATCGAGATACATACACCATACACCACACCTCACCTCAACAACACCCCCCGGTAAGTCTGCGTAATACGCAAACCCGCTCCATTTCCATCCCATGCCATCCACTTGAGGACCCCGTCAAGGATCAGACTACCTCCCTTAGAAAGCCTTTAGCACCGACACCTGGTCCTTGAGAAGTACAGTTGGACTCCATACTGTCGGCCGTCTGCCAGACTAGTGGCCGTACTATCTTTCTTTCTCTTTTCCTTTTCCTAATACTATTCGTGTATCTTCTTTGATTATTCTTCCGGCAAGTCATGCCAAAGTTATGGTTACTACGATGCCAGGCCGTCAAAGAACAGGGCACCCGCTACCTACCTACTATTCTACCCCATGGTAGATAACTAGTTAGATGCTGTTAGCCTCGGGCTTACTACACACCTTGCATTCGGCTTTGCCACATTTCCTGCCCGCCTTGTTGTTTATTCTATTTTCCTTTTTTGAACCCCTCCCCGCTCCTAAAACTGCTGTACTTGCAGCCTATCAAACGGAGTCTTTTTTTCTCTCTTTTTTTCCCCTTATTCCTTGTCGAGTTCTAGGTGCATGCTCTTTTTATTACGGTAAAAATAGCGGTGCCGGCGGCGGTGGCCAACTCCGCTCTCTCCGCGGAAGCAGAGAAGCTATTACGGCAGCAGGCAGGTACCGCAGTGGAAAGGGGAAAACAGAAAAAGACAGAAAAAGAAAAAGAAAAAGGCTCGGGAGGAAGATGGGGAGGTTAGTTTAGCAGCCGTGAGGATGTTGTCGCAGGAGGTATTTGGGAGAGTCTGCAGGTTAACATAAGTGGTAAATTTAATTAGTGATCCGTATGATGGAGGGCCAGGATTGGGATTCTGCTGGTGTTTTGGCTGGGCTAGTGCCTGCCTAACTAACCCAGGGTGTGATAGCGTCCTTAAAGAAAAGATTGTGAAAATAATAATCTTTGGCATTTTTTAGTTTTTATTTTTCTTTCTGGTTTAGTCGGGTTGTTCCCTTATTATTATTATTCTGGGCTTTATTATTATTATTCTCATGACTATTATTATAATAATAAATTTCGGGTCATTTGGGTTAGTGAGTTAACCTTTTTTGACACCCTACTTTACAGGACTCTGGAACCAAAACGAGCAAGGTACCCTGAACGATACCATACCGCTCCTCCCCACTCAATACCTCAATACTCACGCCTCTTGGTCTTGTCCCGACTGGCACTCTCCGCTCCAAGGCCGCCTTACACTCGCATCCCCCCGTTCCTTTGGCATCATCTCATCTCATCCTTCCCCTTCCCCTTCCCTCTCTTTCTCTTCCCCTCACCCTCCCCTCTTCCTTCTTCCCTCTCTGTCTCTCTTTCTCTCTCTTCCTCCCACACACCCATTCACCCTCACTCTCTCTCTTCACTCTCCGACACCTTCAAGACCACCCTTCTTGCCATGGGTCTTGTTGGCTATCACTCTTCGTTTGCTTCCTCTTATGCAGACTTCCTCTCCCTCACTTTCCTGAGTGCCGTTGCTTGATCTTATGGCGTATTGTCTTAACACGCCTTTCCGTGCATTCGGCCGCTGACCTGCAGCTTCCACGCTGCCAACCGTCTGTATTTCGAACCTCGAATCCTTCCCTCCTCCCAATTCCTCGTCTCCGATCGACTCGGACGTTTCTCGCCCTCTTCCTTCCTCCCTCTACCTCGACCTCTCCGAATTTCTCTACATTGTCCCTCTGCAACCTACCTCATGCCGGCTCTCGAGGTCCCGGAGTCCGGGTTGTCTCTCTGCCGAGACAACCACGGCAATGATGCTACCACCAAGCCCGTTCAGATTATGCGGCTGAATCTAGCTCAGGACACTCTTGATGAGCTGATCCAGAGCCTCCGGAACGATCAGACTGCTCGAGTTCGCCTGGGAAAACATGCGACTCTCTACTACGGCTCCAAATCTCAACAATTCCATCCCCTCCCCGAGACGTGTCGATCAGAGCTATATAGCGGCAGCTCTACGGACAAGGAAAACCTATATTTCAGCGGGGTTTTGAGCCATAGCTTGGAGGTCCAGAAGGCGAAGGAGGATACCGCGAGTGCCGATAAGGCATTGGCCGATTTGGAGCAAAGCCTGAATGCCTTCGAAAGAGGGAAAGAGTCGAAGAAGACCGCTATAATCACAAGCATTGATGAAGTGAGGGCTTTGCGGGCAGGCGACAGGCATGGCACTGGAAAACAGACTGTTCGTCTGGGTCGTGCTCCGGCAAGCAAGGTGGAGCTGGAAAAGGATCGATTGCTTAATGCCAATCGCTCCGTTTCCTCGAGCCCGGCTCTGGGAGTTGCTCGATCACCTGCATCTATACCTCCGCTTACACCTACCTCCGCTCCGCTCTCTCAAAACAAAGATCGCATTCGCCTTGAAGCTCTCAAGGTCCCCTTCATTCACCTTCTCGCCGTCCGGGCGGTTTCCGCTAAATTCCTCGCGCGACAAACCCGCGCGTCCCTCGAAGACTGCGAGACTCTGGCTCGGAAATACGGCATCGAAAACCGAATCAATCCGGAGAAGTTCGATCTCAAAGATAAGACCTATCGAGAGCTTGATGTGTGGAAATTTCCCTATCCCTCCCAGGAAGATCGACAGGAGGCAATTGAGAATGCCATCTCTGCATTCGATCGCCTGCGTATTTCCCGGTCCGACAAGCTCTGGCAGATGCTTCTTCCTAAGGAAGAACGCGGAAAGGGCAAGTGCTTATCGCGCCTGGACTTGCGGACGGGCCCCATCAAGAAAGCTGCGACACCTCGGATACAAGTACAAACATCTGATGACAATAGCAAGGACGGTTACACTACGGGTCAGGAGACCGATAAGGCTAGTGGGAATGGTCTAACACCAAGGACGGGTGAGCCGACGTCAGCTCCCAGATCTGGGACGGTCGCGCAGAAGAAACGGCCCGGCGACAAGGATACCGGTGCGAAACGGACTGCCGCAAAGAGCAAGGTTGCGGGTAACAGTACCTTGACGGGACGCGTCACCAAGAAGGCGGAGCAGAAGACGACCGCGAAACAACCGGAAGGCAAGTTCAAGTCGGCGGAATTCGTTCATGACTCGGATGAGGACGACACCGACCTGCCAGATGCATCTTCAACTGAGAAGCCACAGCCTGCAAAGGCAAAGGCTGAACCTAAGCCGCAGACTAAACTGCAGAAGCCCAGCCCTCCCAGGGAACCCTCTCATGCGCCGACCCCGAAGGTGGAGCAACCAGAAGCTACACCTAAATCGGAGCCGATCGACCAAGCGTCACATCGGCCTATGGCAGCAAAGAGGCCTCCTTCCTCGCGACCTCCTGCGCAGAAGTCCCCTCAGAAATCCCCTCAAAAACCGTCGCCCCTCGGGTCCTCGCCCCCCACCAACGCCTCTGATATCCAAAATCGCAGTCGTTCTTCAAGCCAAAACAATTCTTCAAGTTCCTCGTCATCGTCGCCCCTCATAACTCAGGTCAACAAGCCCAGGCCTGTTGCGAGCGCGCCCACTGTGAGAAAAGTGGTCAAGACCAATGGTGTATCCAGACCGGCTGCAGTGACCAATCCCCTGAAGCGCAAGGCAGAACTTGAGCGGCCTGCAGCGCTAGCTCAAGTTCCCGGACGTATTGCCGGGGATCTGGAACACAAACGGCGGCGAGCTGTAAGCACGTCCAGTGGCAGTACTGGAAGCGCCTCGCCGCCTCTCCGCCGTGAAATTACCATCCAGGAGTTGCACGACAAGTCCAAGAAGTTCAAGCGGTTCTACGCCAAGTACCACGCCTTACATGACGCACTGGCCTCTCAGCAGAATCCATCGCGAGCCGACTTGGAGAAGCTCCAGAGGCAGCACACTAGTCTGCGGCGGATGAAGGAGGAGATATGGGCCGAACATCAGCAGCTCCGGGGTGGGCTCTAACGACAGAACATGGCATTTGCATGATTTGATTCCATTTATCTTTATCTATTTCTCGACCCTTGTTTATTATGGTGTCTGGTCCCGGACATTGACAGAACGGGGTTCCTGTTATTATTCCACGATGTTGCTCCTTTTCGACTACCATTGTGTCTGTTTTGTTTAGCATGACGAAGCCGGATAACAGAAAAAGTGCTTCGAGGCGTTTTATGGGGCCAGGTGGATGTTGTTGATGCTTGATATTTTTTCCTTTTCTATCTGGTTAATTTCCTTATCATTTCCTTTGTTGATTGGCATATTATTGCATTTTATCACGCTGACAAAGAGCATGCATGTAATGGGAATGGGTACATATTAGAGGCCGGACTGTCATGGAGGGCAAGAAGCAAGGACGCTGCAAGGAGTCTTCGATACCGGGAGACGGACATGAAACTAGAGACCAATGAAAGACAAGATTCATACACCACTTTCATTCCTGTCGCCTCCGTTCCTACAGTAAGCAAAAGCTAGTTCGACTGCAATAGCAGGTTAGTAGTAGTAAGAAGTAGACTAGGAATCATGGCCCGACGGAGGCAATTCCCGCACTCTTTTTTCCCTCATTCTTCCAGTCCGTTCCGATACTCCGCAAAAGTGCCCTGCAACACGAACCGTCCGTCCGTCGTGCCCCTCATGTGGCCGCTGCCTTTTTTCACTCTGGCATTTTTCCTTGCCCGATTAGGTCCTCGGGTTCAGATTCCAGCCCAATCTGGTCGATAATACCCCGCCATACACCCGAAACCAAACAAAGAGGGTCATCTTCCTACTTACTTAGTACCTTTACTCTGGCAAAGTGCTTGACACTGTATGGTATTCTAAACCCTCTTCTATTCTCCATTTCATGCAGTTCTCAAGTAGTGAGAATAACACCTATAGCATTGATCGGTATTACACATGATCAGCATGTCAATCAGTCAATCATCCAGTCTGATCACACATGAAAATCATCCACACGCACGAAGCAAGTGACATGAACCAATGAGTGAGAGTAGTAATATTATTATACCCCGGATCATCATCACCCACCCCATCAATCACCGACACAAGATACAAGTAGTAGTAGTACCTGCCAGGGAAACACTTACCGTATACAGTTACATATGACAGATCAGGCTCGGAGTATGAATCGGAGGGTGGTGAGAAAAATGGATGGATGGAAGGACGGGGAAAGAAACTCCCCTCGCTGCCCTTCCTTCCTTCCCATCCTCCTCCACCTCCTCCTCACTACCAAATAAGTACTTACTTACTCACCCCACTATCGGCACGTGGCTGGAGTGGCCGATTGGTCCCGAATAGGTAGGGATACGCTACGTCCATGCTACTACTGTATACTTGGATACCTTACGGAGGCGGGTATGTATGTATGTATTGGTATGTATTGGTACGTGGGTATTTTACGGTTCATTGGGTTGGGGTAGGTGGGATGATGTCATTCTCGTACTCATTCTTATGCTACTCGGGGTGTTGCGTTTGTTTTACATTTTTCTGTGATGGCGAGTTATGATGGCTAGCTTGCATGGTTATTTTCGGTTTGTGGTGGTTGGAGGGTGATTTATTTGGCTGTATTTGGAGGTATATATTTGGTTTGTAGTTGGGTTGGGTTGGTGGGTGAGTATTGTATGTGAGGCTAGGGAGGACATACTTTCAGCAATGTGACTTCTAGTAATGATTCATGTCAGTTATTACTTGGGTTGTATTATAACAGAACTAACTGAAGAATGGATTTGGTTTATTCTAGTGTTTTCAGTTTCTGTTCTCTTGAGTAGATGAGCTCGCTGTCGGTATAGTTGAGTGTTCAGGATAGACATAGATTACAGGCATTTACAAATCAACACATCATAGGACCAAACTACCCTTCTATTCTGTACTCTTTCTTGTCTATTATATCCTATCCATCTGCCCTATTCATACACTCCCTGTCCTACATATCTCCAGTCTACTCTATATCTGGTCCACTGTTCCCGCCATGCCCAATCGGGTCAATCCCAATCGGGTTTACGGCCGAGCCCATTTGCAGGGCGGTGGACAGCGACCAGAGCAGAGCTTGGATAACTCAATTGACCGTGAATCTTTCTCCCTCCATCATGCTCTCTTTCCATCCTAATCCCATGGCCTTCATATCCAGTTCAGTGATCCTGTGATGCGACTAGTATAACACAACCCCTTCCATTACTCTCAACCCCACCGTGTGGGTGACCACAAACGGCGAATCCCAATCTAGATCTTTCCCCGACCGACCGGATAAGCCAGACACAGCTTGGTGACGTTAATCCGTCCGATTCGACCCTTGCTGTCTGTCGCTTATCAATTGCCGTCCATACTACCACCGCTACAAACTTATCAACCTAAAGAAAAAGCAGTATATCAGCCATGACCCCTGCCAGAGGGCGTGGTCCAAGCCAAAGGAGTCCTCATGTCCTGGTGAGCATCCATTACCCCCCTGCCTGCCTCCCCCCTCACTCCGGCGCAATCTATACCAGAAATTAAACTAACCACGCCCATCATCATCCAGGTGACCGACTCCCGAGACCAACAAACCACCCAACCCCGTCGTCGCCGCTCCCCCGCAACCCGTTTCATCACTGTCGACAATGTCCTCCAATACACCTCCGACGTCCCCTCCATGCAGCAGCGCCATCCACCCCAAGGCGGCGTTAGGGCGCGGCCGCGCTCCCGTCTCGCTTCCGCCGCGGGCGGCTTAATCGGTGCTGGCGGAGCGGGCTCCTCCACCGGAGGAAGCAGTGCGGTCAGCACAGCAGCGACCATGAAGCGACTTGCAGCGCAGCCGCGACTGCCTCCCCGTACGACCAAGGTCAGCGAGAAGCTGGTGCTTCTGCCGGAGGCCGGGGATGAATTGCGCGAGGAAGAGGAAGGAGAAGAGGAAGATGAGGAGACTGTGGACGAGGAGTTCGTGCAGAAGATCGCAAAGGATAAGAATCTCGATCCGGATTCGGTGAGGCAGACGTTACTGGCACAGAAGAAGCTCGATGGGGATTTCGGCGTCGATAATGAGATCGCGCCGTTGTTGGCGGAGGAGGAGTTGATGAAGAGGAGGAAGGTCGCTCCGGAGAAGGCGAAGAGCTATGCGGAGAGGTTGCCTAAAGCACGGCGCGCGGAGAAGTTGGCCAGAGTGACGGCGTATTGTACGGCGCAGGCTTATAAGATGAGCTCGTTGGCGTCGTTTGTGAAGGAGAGGCATGGCGGGAAGACGAAGCTCTATGATGATTGTCTGTATACAGCGTATCATTTGCCGTTGTTGCCTGGGCATGAAGGGTATAGGCTGAGGAGTAGCCCGGTGCTGAAGAAGCCGGGTGGCAAGTCGCTGCTTGATGAGGAGATTGAGCGGAATGAGTTGCGAGATCATCATGAGGACTATATGCCGGAGGCGGAGGAGCATTCGGTGTTTGGGGGCCGTCATGAACATGGTCCGCACCCACATGAATCGCATCAAGCTGGTGAGGAGGATCATGCTGGTTCTGGTTCGAGGGAACAGTTTGGTCAAGGTACGAGCCATAGCCAGCCGGGTCCGACTGCCGGCTCAACGGCGTCGTCGAGACTATCATATAATGTGGCGGAGATGTTTGTCTTCAGCTACGGAGTTGTCGTGTTTTGGAATTTCACCGAGAAGCAAGAGAAGGATCTGCTGGCTGATTTGGCGTTTGCGACGTCGTCCGCAACGGGATCACCTATCCCACTGGCTACCATGCCATTGCAAGAGGAGGATTTTGAAACAGAGGAGTTCCATTTCGAATACTCGACCGAGATCAAACGCCCGCGTGTCTACAACGACATGATCACTCTGCGCAGTGGCGACCACATGATCAAGCTGGCTATCAGTCATGGCATCGCCCAAAGTACCAAGCTCTGCTTCTTTGAGGAAGTTATGGCTCGCCAGATGGCCGAGGCCAAGGACGTCCCTCGCCGACTCGCCATGACCGGCAACCTAGGAATGAAGCGAGACGAAGTATTCCGGATCCTGGGCAGTCTGTTCAAGAGTCGTGTGGAAGTGAACCTCTGTAAGTGACACCTTCAAACAATAAGCTGGATAATTTCTAATTTCTACAGCATCCAATATGCTCGACGTCCCAAACTTCTTCTGGGAAAGCGAGCCTACTCTCTACCCACTCTACATCGCCGTTCGCGAATACCTCGAGATCAAGCCCCGAATCCAAGTCCTCAACGAACGCTGCCGTGTCTTCCTCGACCTGGCTGAAATTCTCTCCGATTCGATCGCCGACAACAGAACCTCGCGTATGCCATCCCCTATCATGACATTCAGCACACAAGCTAACATGCACAGACCAAACTTGGATCATCATCGTCCTCATCATCATCTCCATCCTCGTCACCACCTTCGAAGTCTTCCTCCGCTTCGGCCTCCTCTCCGCCCGCGAGAACGGCGCATCCTCAACAATCACTACCATCCTCTCCCGAGCCCTCGGACATACTTCACCCGCACCCGTATGCTCATGTCCAGCCCCTGCTGTTCCCGGAGTTCCAGCAGGCATGGGAGCATTGAATACCACCGGCTTGCCGTATTGATTATACCATACCCTACATACTTAATACTCTCACACACCTTTCTCACCACACATTACAATCACATTCACAATAGCAAGCCGCATCATACCAACCATACTCCATCCCTTTACTGTCTGTCCCATACGGCAACTCGTAAGCATACGCAATCCACATACTCATTTCCTACTTCCACTTTCAAGCGATGTTATCCCTTCAGTCATTCAATCAAGTCAGACTAGCTAAAAGAGACCGGATATATCCCCTTCACTGTACCTATTACACTCACTCTAATCAATCAATCAACTACCAACCACCAGGCCACACAAATAGTCTAATCAAATCTACTCTACTCTACAATAAGCCCCCCAAATACACATCTATCCATCCATAAACATCCAAGCTCTCACCAACTCATTGAGATACTATAAAAATTTGGCGGTGTTGCGTGGCAGTATTCTGCCCCAACCTCAGGCAGAGATATCTCCACCTATCTCACTTGGTGCCTAAGGCCAGAAATAAAAAAAAATATATTTACCCGCCTAAGGCATCTATGAGCTCATAGCTAGCTAGCTTGCGAGCCGAGGCGAGGCAGGAAGAGGAGGTAGGTAGGTACGTCATCATCGGGAAGAACCTTGCTAGTGGGTGTTTCAGGTAAAATGAGCAGCTCTAGCCTAGCTAGCTCTTGAAATGAGGACACGGAAGTTGGGTAGTAAAGTTATTCATGTCAATCAGGTGAGAGTATGGAAGGTGGTACCGAGGAATTTTTTTCTTTTTTTTTTTTCCCCTGGTGGATTATCCATGCAGTGAGTGAGTGCATCTCCACAGCAGCGATCGATCGATGTACATTTAGTAGTGTAAGTAGTATACTATGGTAGTAGTGGTTAAGTCTATCATACATGACAA